TATAACAGATTATTAATTTGTTATAACAGATTACTAATTTGTTATAACAAATTACTAATTTGTTAAAACAAATTACAAAATATAATTTGTTAAAACAAATTACTAATTTGTTATAACAGATTACTAATTTGTTATAACAGATTACTAATTTGATATAACAAATTATCAATTTGATATAACAAATTAATAATTTGTTATAACAAATTATTAATTTGTTATAACAAATTGGTAATTTGTTATAACAAATTAATATTTTGATAAAGTGAAAGTGTATACAGATCTATGGAAGCCAGATGAGATCAGAAATCTTTTTATAAGTTGGATTTGTGAAAATAATAAATGTACAAGCTCTGCAGCTACAGCTTTTAACCAATATGTTAATCTGGATTTACATCTTTTAGCATTTAGAGTTTTCACTGTCAAACACTGTTGTTATAAAGATACAATGCATCAAATTCTTTGGTTCCTATTTACTTATTCTTAGGAGCTCCATTTGAATTTTGTCCTCCTCCCCCACCAGGGCTCCGTCCTTGACTCCCATCTACCAGGTCATTGCATCCCCGTTCGTATGCTAGGAAAAAATATCTTATCAAAGACATGTTATTTGGAGAGGGAATTTTTCCCACCCTGAATCAACATGTTCATTATAATATGTTTTTTTTTTTCAATATGTCTTTTATTTTATTTCATTTTACCCCCCCCCCCCCTCTCTCTCTCTCGATTCATTCTATACATGTACCAAATGATTTATGCCTACTGTTCAATCCAGTTTATGTATCATGAATAAAATATATTTTAAACTAAACCGCCGTTCCTAATGCATTAACCTGAATCTGCTCCTCTGGTGAACCTCCTTGGCCCCAATTTATGCTGGGGGCAATAAAGGCAACATTGATAAAAAATGAATTTGTAGATAAATTATCATAGAAAAATTGATAAACACTCTGTAATAACCTTTTCTGAAAACGAAAATAAACAATATTCTTGAGTGGGTAGTACTTCGTAAAATTTGAATTTAGATACCTTGTGAAATTTTTTCATGTATGTATGTAATTTTTATAATCAAAATACGTTCCTTTTGGAAAAGCCCTCGAAATCCCACTAAAGCCTTCATAACTTATTTTTGGCTGAAAACTTTGACAGTTGTTTCTTCAAATTCATTTGTAATTTGTATCCTGGTTGTCTCATATAGGACTACTCATATATTTTACAAGAAATCGTTAAGCAATATAATTTGTTATAACAATACACACAAAATATTACACATGTGTAAAGAAGGAAAAAATAGGTCTTCTCCCCTATTGACCCCTGTGTTGACATTGAAAAAAAGTGTTGATTTGAATGGACGACGTTGAAATCATATTTAATTGTCCGGAACTTCGAATTTTTCTCGAAGGATCCAACATTCTGTATTTCTTCTACATAATCCCTGGGATGCAGCCATTCTTTTAATTGTCTAACAGAGAAATCTATTCCAAGGAACTGACTCAAAAAAAAAAAAACAACAACAAACAAACAACAACAAAACAAAACAAAAATTTAAAAAAAAAACCTGCAATTAAACAAAAATTAAAGTGCTTTAATCTAAGTTGCTAATTCATCTAAATCCACATTAACATATTGATCAAAAGCTCTCCAAAGCTTATGCTTAACGTGTTCATAGAACCGATTTAAAATAAGATTTCTGATCTGATCTGATCTGGCTTCCATAGATCTGTATTCACCTTCATATTTTGTTAAAAATAATAATTTTTTAAATCAAATTAATAATTTGTTATAACAAATTGATAATTTGTTATAACAAATTGATAATTTGTTATAACAAATTGATAATTTGTTATAACAAATTAGTAAGTTGTTATAACAAATTAGTAATCTGTTATAACAAATTAGTAATCTGTTTTAACAAATTGATAATTTGTTATAACAAATTGATAATTTGTTATAACAAATTAGTAATTTGTTATAACAGATTAATAATTTGTTATAACAAATTGATAATTTGTTATAACAAATTAGTAATTTGTTATAACAAATTAATAATCTGTTATAACAAATTAGCAATCTGTTTTAACAAATTGATAATTTATTATAAAAAATTGATAATTTGTTAAAACAAATTAATAAAAGATACTGCTGCGGCCCTATTACGCTTCCGTAGGTACTACATATTCTCATACGTGATAAGAAAATCTTTCATCAGAGATTAGATACATACACTAGAAAATATTTCCAGAGAGGAAGATGTATTTGGGGGCATAATCAACCAGATGACGATTTCCGATTCTAATGTCTTTTGGGGTCAGAATGTGTTTAAGTATAGCTATTGAATCTATTACAAGCTTATCTTTTAAAAAGATTGGTGAGCTAGCGCTGTAGCATAATAAAATACAGAAGAAGGTATCTGAACCATTTGTTAAATTTGCTGAATCGATTAATTATTAATAAGAAGGCAGATTGGTGCACTGGGGGTTGAGTTGGGGGGGGGGGGGTCACAATTCAGAATGGTGAATCTAAGAGTGTGCTTCAATTCGGCAATGGCATAACTCCTAACTGTGCTTTAAGCATTCTGCATTTTACTGTAATTTCAATTTCGAGGTGAAAAATAAAAGGTCAGTAGAACCAATGAGCACCTTTGGGCCTTTCCGGCTCGGAAAACATATCCGAGGTTGCCTCGGTTTTCCGAGCTTGCCGGAAAGATCCATGAAGGTAGATTAGAAAAGCTATGTATTCATTACAGCTTTAGAAATAACAGTCTTGGTTTTATAAGACCCGAGCTACTGTTACTTTTTGTTCATTTACGTGCAGGTTAGACAACAAAACACGAAACTTCAGATCATATGTATTTTCAGATGATAAACACTAAATTGACATGTCTTTCCGACATACTCTGAAAAAGATTGTTGTTGTTGTTGTTGTTGTTTTTTCCGAGCTTGCCGGAATTATCCACTAAAGTGATAAAACTGTAAGGAAAGCTAGATGTCTAGAATCTTGGCATTATATGGCCAATTTTTTTCTTGTACTTTTATGTGTAGGTTAGACAATTAATTTTAAAAAAAATCAGAATCCGGATCTAGACTGGTATTGACTGTCTCTAACATAAGAAATGTATTTCGCACATATCAGACAGGGAAGGCCAGTGTAAAATCGGATCATTTCTATTTTTGTATGACAAAACGAAATTGTTATCGTTCAGTCTATCTACAGTAGTTTTCCCAGAATCCCCGACCGCTAGCAATAAGATGGGATTATGTAACAGATGATCGCATCGAAATTTTAAAAAAAAGTTTTAAAAATATCTAACTATCAATTTTCTGACAGAATTCCTATCATATATCCTGGTTTCTTACTATAATTATTGCTATTCGATGTTCAGCAGTTTCGTTCGTTTGAAATCACGCCACGAATTACGTAATATGTAGCTGACAGATGTTGGTAAAAGTCACCATAATTATCTTCTATTGAACGTACCCTAGCAATTTGTACAGCCGTTGTGTTTAATTCTTTGTTCACGAGACAGACTAGTCTATAAGAAAAATCGTTTTACCTAGTATCTAAGATTTTGCTTGCATGATATCTTTTTATTAATAAAGTTAACAAGTATTAGCTTTCCTAAAAAGCTTGTCTGACTTGAGCAACTTCATTTTTACACGAAGAATCAAGAAAAAAATGAATCCAGTGTAATCAACATGACCCTGAGTCATGAAATGAATTCTTTTACTAAGAAACAAGAATAGTTCAATTCAGTGGCATGGACATAGAATAAAACTACTTGGACGTGAATTTATTTTTTATGTACACCACATGTATATTACTTGTAATTTCTTTTCTCCATAAATTTGATAATTCAAAAATGTTTATTAAAAAAATAATAAACGTGTTATTCTTTCCATTTAAGCTAAGAATATTCAACATCTTTACTTCACTTTGATATTGTTTTTTTTAAACTATATGAATAAACCAAATGTCTGCAAGTTATGGACATGTGTAAATTTATAAAAATTCTAAAGGTAGAGAGACTTAGTATGCATTGAAAATAAACATCTGTTAGTCAATCTGATAGTGATAAGTGTTGACCTGGCCAACTTCATTCCTTTTGTTTTGCTGGACATGAATGGTGCATTCGAGAGTGGCCAAATGTTGTGTAACCTGTAATGTATATTGTGATAATAATGACATCAGCTCCAATGTTCTGGCTTGTTTGGGTGTTTAGTTTGTTTCCTTTACTCTTCATGCTCTCCAATTGCTTCATACAATTAGTATGAAGTTTCCAAGATCAAGTTATCACAAGAATTCTACTGAACGACTTGACCAACAAGCCTTTGCTAAATCTAGTACTGTCTGACGCCATGACGTCAGACAATAAGGATCTACATGCAAGAAATTCAATGTTGACCAGTTGAATGTATTGATTTTCTTCTAGTAAATTTAGAGAGCAGATTAGACTATAAACAAATGTTCATATAATATTATAAACATATAGTATATAGAATAGTATATAGAACAACTCTTAGCCGATATGACGGTCTACCTGTCTGTAAATGACACACACACACACACCCTCACACACACACACACAAAGGAATTGATGGCTATCATGTGCAAAACAGAATATTAATTACTGTTTGTCACAATAGACCTCTAAGTGACCTCTCAGTATCGCCGGGTATTGTTATCAATATACTTAAAATATAATAACCCCCAATAGATCATACGTACATGCTTATTACAAGTATCGCTGTACTTTATTGTTGGTATGGAGATGTGTCAATTAAATACTCGAAGACTATCTGCGGTTTATAAGGTACAAAGAAAATATGCTATTGTTGTCATGGCAACTGAAATCGAGATCAGTTTACTACATTACAGCACAACATGATGTGGATATGACAAATACTCGTATTCAACCATATTTTTATTGATATAAACCTGTAAAATATATATCTCAGATATACATGATTTTATACAATAACACATATATTATTAGTGTTAACTCAGTTTTTTTTTAACTCAAACGACGAATAAAGAGTACATTTTACAACAGACCTTACGACTAAGACCAACAAATTTACCTGATTGTAAAATCCTATAAAATAAATGATTTTATTAAAAATTATATGCATACATATATCGTTCTTCATTCTTTTTAAATTCACGTAAAAAAGATTTTAGTAATTTCCAAAATAACATTTTAATCTTGGTCATAATTAAGTTCTTATGTAAAACGGGGCCACGTAATATACCTCCATACTTAAGAAATTTACAGTCTATAAGGTTTAGCATTTTTGAAATATAAAAATGACACCATTATTTTGGAAAGAGTAATTTGGCACGACTTTTCTCGATATTTTACTCCATTTGCCGGAAATCTCCAATTCTTTCATTAATGGTTCTAGTCTGTCTTTATAATCCTGAACATGTTCTAGATATTCTTCTCTCATTACGATGACAACGTAACCACCTGGAAATAAAAAAACAAAGATGACAGTCACAATGGAACCACCTGGAAATATCATAAATCAAACGACGATGTCATCTCTTGGAATATGCCACAAACATTTTCAATCTCAAAATCACGTGTCGGGGATAACAGCAACGAACAAACAGCGCTAGCACTATTTTTACAATTTAAACCGAAAAAAAATATTTAAAACTTAATAATAGAGCGCCTTGATTTGGTTATTAAATGTAATAAGAAAGAACAACTCAACTGATTCTAAACCAGCAAAAAAGCATTTCACAAGGTTTTACTATAAATCATAAAGAGCAACTCACAATGTTTACTATGTAAGCCAATGAGACAAATATTCGTTTTCAAAGAGTTTAATTAATTGAGAGTTGCGAGTCGTACAGTTAATCGTATAGTGGCTTTTTTGGAAGAGCTGTGACGGTACATATTGTCGTTTTGTACATATTGTCGTCGGCGACAATATGTACCTACCCTCACTGCTATTATTGTCATCCATCGGAACATACTGTCGCCGGCGACAATAGGTACCGAGATCAGCCTTATTTTCCTCCTGCATAATGGACGACAAAATGTACAGTCAAGCACCAGCACATATTGTCGTCGGCGACAATATGTACAGTCAAGATCGGCATATATTGTCGTCGATATATTGTTTTTTCGAATATTTACTTGAGAAAGGAAAGAGAGATTGACAAACAGGCAGCATTATTCGATACTGTAGGGAGAAAACTTTTTGGTCAGAAAATTGTGTCCAGGATTGATGTACATCACTATAATTGGTCAAGATACCGTAATTCTTGAGATATCTGATAAATCGGCTTATTCTTTTTTCTTGTAATATATACGTGGAGATTGAATACATGTATTAGGTTTTGTTCAGTAGTAATGGTTATTTGGGAATTATTGCGTTATTCTTATATAAAATCATGTGCCGATATAACTGGTGTTGGGGTTGGCAATTTTAGATCACCTGAACTGGAAGTTCAATTGAGCTTTTCTGATCACATTTTGTATGACCGTCCCTCTGTCTGTAAACTTGCCACAAAGCATCCGTGGATAAAGGGGATTGAAGTTTGTTCAAATGAAGGGCCATGTCCTCTTTCAAGGGAAGTAGTTAAGAATTAGTGAAATTTAGTGACATCTTTTAAAATCTTCTCAAGAACCACTGTGTCAGAAAAGTTGAAACTTATGTAAAAGCTTCATTATGAAGTGTAGATTCAGTTTTATTCAGATCATGTCCCTGAAAGGTGAAAGTTTTTTTTATACAATATTTAGAAAAAAATTCTTTCAATTTTTTTTTCAAGAAGTACTGGGTCAGAAGAGATGATACTTATGTGAAAGCTTCGATTATATAGCGTACGTTCAATTTTGAGGTGCTGGCACGGAAAAGATCCCTCACTGCTCAATGACCCTGAGTGCCAAGTACGAGGGGTGATCAAAAAGTTCGCGAACTATCTCCATAGTTACAAAACCACAATTCAGATCAGAGTGAAATTTGGCACACATATAGTCATTCACATGTTCTATAAATAACAGATGTTAAATAATGGTTTGCTCCGTGTTTGTGACGTCACAATGTGAAAATGACGTCAATATGTAGGTCACTTGTGACAAAAAATGGTTGACTCAGTCGTACTCGAGGAACGAACGGCTGTAAAGTTTAACGTATATCTTGGAAATTCCTTTGCAGTAGAATGAGATAATTTGTACAAGGTTTATGAAGACAAAAGACTTACCAGAAGTTCAATCATTAATTAGAATGATTGTTTAAGTAAAGTCAGGGAGATGGTTAAAAATTATGATTGTTCTGTTGCCCAGCGAAAGCAAGCCGGGGAAAAGATGTGTCCTTAATTGAGCAATTTGTTAGGAAACGTCGTCAAGTTACAATTAGAAAAATGGTTGAATATCTTAACAATAACATAATTATTAAAACCCTAAAATATCGTTTACTTTAGACTTTAAGCATATGAGATATGATAAAAAGAAGGCGCCCATACTTTATCCACATTGGAAAAACGACGCTCCCGAGAAAGAGGACTTGGGTTGTGATGGGTCACCATACTAATTGTGGAAAGGCATATCCTCATCCACCCATCCTATTGCCGAGATTTCGCCATTTCTGACAGATGGACTGTTCTTGTTATAAAAAATAACTTGCATGGTAAGAAAAATAAGACTCGGAAAAATCTTTTAGCTTCTCTGAACAGACTGCTACGGAGCATGTCACGTGACTGCCTGGATGACGTGATTGGCGCATGGGCAGAACAATGGCAGATGTGCATTAAAATCGGAGAGGACTACTTTAAAAAATAATAAACACCGAAACCTCATTTTATTTTCTTTTAAGGAAGTAATTCAATTAGTTCGCGAACTTTTTGATCACCCCTCGTATAGGTCTAAATTTGTGGTGACGTGACGTGAAAAATTCTCGAGATGAACATTATAACAACAAACAAAAAAAATCAATTTTGTTCAAATCATGACTCCAGGGGAAGAGTGGGACCACAGTGGGTGATCAAAGTTCTACACAGGAATATATACAGAAAATCTTTAAAAATCTTCTCAAAAAACTAGTAACACACCTTTACATACAAATGACTTAAAATTTTTTTGCTTGTCAAAAAAAAAAAAAAAAAAAAAAAAAATCTGAACCGCCAGCACCCCCCCCCCCCCCCTCCGTTCTGGATCAACCACTGAGAACAGCAGTAGGCCCGTGATTAGTGATGTTTATATGGAAGAATCCTCAGGTAGCACAGATTCAAAGCAAACCTGGCCACAATGGGCGACATTAAGTTTTACATGTACAAATGAATATATGACAAAATTCTTTAAAAATTATCTTCTCAAAAACATCAAAGCAATGATTAATCATATTTAAATGGATTGATTGATTGATTATGATTGTCTAACGCCTAGTCGGCAATATTTCAGCCATATTTCGGCGATCAAATTATGTATAAATATGACAATATGTACAGTGAGGGTGAGGCACATAATGTCGCCAGCGACAATATGTACATCACTACATGTGTAACTTATCAGCCGGCGACATTATGTACCGATGGACGACAATATGTGCAGTGAGGGTTGGTACAAATTGTCGCCGACGACAATATGTACAAAACGACAATATGTACCGTCATAAGAGCGCTGTAGATCGTATTTTAAAATGTACAGTACATAATACTCATTAACATATGAAATAGACAAATCAGATTCAAGTGAACAAGTTATACCATAAATTTGGACAAAATCGTGGAATTTTATAAAATAAATTGTAATTGAAACATAAACTTAATTTAATAAGCTTTCAGTTCAACGTCCTAGTATTGCGCAAAAGTTAATATAATGTTAAGATAATTTTTAGCAATGTTCCGTTACTGTTCCTGTCTCGACTTCCCAAGATAGATAAACATCCTGGTAGCTTACATTGTCCTTAATCCGATTACCAGGTTTGTTTATTATTACGGAAAAGTCTTACACTTTCATATCCAATGTTTATTTTCTGATTAAAATAATTGTCTCAAACCCTATAGGTTTACACTATAAACCAAATTTCACCACTGATAAACCATAAAGAAAAACTCATCAGGTTTTAATTTAAACCAGTAATAGTAAGTCAAAAGAATTTACTATTAACCAGCAACTCACCAGTCGGACTTTGCTGTAAACCAGAAAGAACAACTCACCAGGTTTTACTATACGAATCATCTCGTATAGAGCATTGCATGGAATGTGGCCCTCTCCCATACCACCAGCAATCGCAGCGGCATCATAATTATCTAGAATTTAAAAAAAAAGTTATTTTAAGGAAGCTCTAAACACTGCTCACTGAAGAGTGCTAATTCCATGATACATTTATGCACTTAGAGTGATCTGCCCTTTGATGTAAAATGGAACAAATGGGAAATTTTCAGTAAATAATCCATTTGGAAATAGATTAAAATATTCTTAGCATTATATTAGATAAAGTAACTGGAAACGGTATTTGCAGGTAATTTCGTTATGTAAATAAACAACGGTGATTTCTGTTCACTATAATACTTCATTGTCTTTGAACATTTTTCCAGGAGAAATATGGCAGATGCAGCACCCTATGTTGAAAATAAACTAGATAAACTCAATAAATACACCTTTATATAATTTAATTTTTTTCAAAGTCAAATAAATCTCTTTTTCTCATTTTAGTGTTTAGAGCTTCCTTAAGATAGATACTAATTAATTTTTTACACCAAATTTAAGAATATTCAAAATAATCGTAAATATTCACATATACTTTTCATGATATGATATGAATACGTGTACCTGTTTGAATATTCAGCATTTTTTCACTCATGAAATCACAGATGAGATTGGAATATACATTTCTTTTCCTGGACGCCTCAATCATTCCCTCTGAAGGGTCTAAGCCGTCGATTGAGCGAAACCCCCTGTCCCAGAGCTACAAAGCAAGGATGTACTGTACTAATTAAAGAACAATACTTATACTCTTTATGAATATATTTAAACATCTTTTCTTTCAAAGATAATTCTTATATAATGAGATGTCTTGCACTGAAATCTCGAATATGTTACAAAAAAAAAAAAATGTTCAACACCTTCCCGATTCGAAGTTGTTAAATTTAATTTAAGACCATGCTTACTGTAGGAAGAATTAGTTAATTATGGTTGAAAAAAAATCAAAGTGTAACCTCTTGTCCAAGAAATCCAGTTCCACAAGCAATGTCTAAAATTCGAACACTTTCACGATGTTCCGAAATCAGGTCACAGAGACTCTCAGCAGCAAGCTTTGGTCCACGATATCGGTCTGGTCCCAGGTCCTGTAAACAATAAAAGGCATACAGGTTATTCTGTTCAAATATAATGTAAGTTTCGATCTGAGTTATGAGTGAGTTATTCTTCAAATTTTACATGAGTAAAATCAAATACTCAAGTTTTTATGTGGATACTACATTTTTTTGGATAAAAGGCTAAAGGTAACACTCTTCTGAATATAATTTAATTATGGGACCAAAAGCCCTTCCTTGAAGTTTTTATTAACACTTCGCAAACGTTTAAGAAATTAAATATATATTGATTTTTATAACCACTCCTTACAAAAAGATATGTTGCATTACAATTTATGAACTGTATTTTTTTTCTTATATATAAAATTCTTGAAAAAAAAATTTTCTAATGGCAGACTTTCGAAATTTATGCTAAAAGACAAATTACCACGTCATATTTATTAGAATTCGCCCACTCTGTGTAGTAATCGGCCACTTCTTTCATTGTGATCCCCTCTCTGTGGGCCCCATAATTCTGGGCGTACGCAGCTACATCCCTCTGGTTGCCCTCCTGCTGGAATTTCTTTGCCTTTTCCGCCGCCATTATCTGTTCTAACACATCGTATATCTTAGCAGAGCGTCTCAAAATGTCAGTTAGATTCTTGTAACTGAATCAATATGTTTGACACCATCCTTTCAATTATCACATTTCATTCAAACTTCGTCAACCTGCCATCTCTATACTGTACTCACCTTTTCGTATTTCCATACTAATTAATGATTTTTTACACATACACACATTAATAACACATATTGGTTATACAATAAATTCCAAAAAGACAGTCTACTTTTGAGCCCTCTGCGATTCTTTCAATGAACAGACCAAATATCTCTATGCATGATGCAGATACCACACTCCTGAAGAGAAATTCGAATTCTTTTGCTGATTGTGAGAATAAGATAAGGGGCTGGGGGTTTCCCACGCGGAGTTTGTTTTCCTCCCGATTTTGACTTCATTGATGTGCATTACAATGTTTCATAAAATCCGTATTTGTTTGTTGAATAAAACATTTCTCTGTTTAAACTGTAGCAAATTTGTTCCTTTAAAATATGAAAATAACACAGACCTCGAGGAAGTGAAATCTGAGAATTCTGTAAAACGGTTTGTATAATGTCCGTTTTCAAACATGATTTCAGGTGATATATGGTTCATAACTTTGTATTTATTTCAATAGGGGGAAAACAGATGACGTTCCTTCCTAAGAGTTACAGTGATATGGATTATTAAATAATCTAAAGCTGGATCACACAAAAATAGAAAATAATATAATTAAGAAATCAATTACAATGTAGTTAAGCGACCTCGACAATTCTACCTTTACAACATGTACAAAGACCAAAAGAATGTGCGAGCGTGTGTTGAACAAAGATTCCAGAAATAATTAAATTCATGAATAGAATTAGAAAGATTTTGTTCAGAAAAGCGTATTTATTTCATAAAAATTATCCGCTTCATCTAGAATGTCACTTTCATTTAAGCTGCAGGTTTGTAGCTCAATGGTCTGATTTAAAAAAAAAAAAGAAAATAGCGCTGAACAACCATTCAAATAACTGCAGCCAGTTTATGATCAGAATTTTTTTGACAAGCACAAAGAAAAAAAACAACAAACAAACAACAAAAAACAAAAACAAAACTATTTCAAAAGGAGTGGGGTTAGAACAAGTCCCTTTCCTTCACACACATATATATAAATGATATTTTACCAGGGGCCTGTATTTTCTAATGCGGGAGGAGGGGTCGATTACCTTAATATATATATTTAACAAGAGGCCCATAGGCCACATCGCTCACCTGAGCACACTGGCAAGGCAAAAGCACAAATCAGTTGAGTATTGAAAAGATTACGAGGGGGGGGGGGGGGGGGCTTGAATTTTAAACTACCTGATGATGCTTCCATGTCAATATATAATTTGTTTTAACAAATGGCTTTGTTGTACTTGAGAAGATTTTTAAAAAAAATTCCCATATATTCCTCTGTAAAAATATGATCCCCCATTGTGGCTCCTCCCTATCCCAGGGGTCATCATTTGAACAAACTTGAATCTACACTACCTGAGGATGCTTCCATATCAATATGACTAAACATAGCTTTTCTGTTCTTGAGAAGAATTTTTTTTCTATATGTTCCTATGTAAAACTTTCGATCCCCTTATTGGGTCCCACCCTACCCTCAGGGGTCATCATTTGAACAAAATTGAATTTTCACTACCTGAGGATGCTTCCATATCAAAATGACTAAACATGATTTTCAGTTCTTGAGAAGAAGGTATTTTCCTATATGTTCCTATGTAAAATTTTCGATCCCCCATTATGGCCCATCCCTATCCCCTGGGGTCATCATTTTAACAAACTTGAATCTACACTACCTGAGGATGCTTCCATATCAAAATGACTAATCATGGCTTTGCAGTTCTTCATCAGAACATATCTTCCTATATATTTCTATTTCAGACTTTTATCCTCCATTATGGCCCCACCCTACCCCAGTGGGTCATGATTTGAACAAACTTCTACCTGAGGACACTTCCACATAAATATGATCAATCAGGGCTTTGCTGTTCCTGAGAAGAAGATATTTAAAGATTTTTCCTATATATTTCTATGTAAAACTTTGATCCTCCATTGTGGCCCCGCCCTACCCCTGGGGGGTCATGATTTGAACAAACTTGAATCTTCACTACCTGAGGATGCTTTCGTATAAATATGACCAATTAGGGCTTTGCTGTTATTGAGAAGAAGATTTTTAAAGATTTTTCCTATATATTTCTATGTAAAACTTTGATCCTCCATTGTGGCCCCGCCCTACCCCCAGGGGTCATGATTTGGACAAATTTGAATCTACACTACCTGAGGATGCTGCCAAATAAATATGACCAATTAGGGCTTTGCTGTTATTGAGAAGAAGATTTTTAAAGATTTTTCCTATATATTTCTATGTAAAACTTTGATCCTCCATTGTGGCCCCGCCCTACCTCCGGGGGTCATGATTTGAACAAATTTGAATCTACACTACCTGAGGATGCTTCCATATAAATATGACTCATCATGGCTTTGCTGGTATTGAGAAGAAGATTTTTAAAGATTTTTCCTATATATTTCTATGTAAAACTTTGATCCTCCATTGTGGCCCCGCCCTACCTCCGGGGGTCATGATTTGAACAAACTTGAATCTACACTACCTGAGGATGCTTCCATATAAATATGACTCATCATGGCTTTGCTGTTCTTGAGAAGAAGATTTTTAAAGGTTTTTCCTATATATTTCTATGTAAAACTTTGATCCTCCACTGTGGCCCCGCCCTACCCCTGGGGGTCATGATTTGAACAAACTTGAATCTACACTACCTGAGGATGCTTCCACATGAGTTTCATCTTCCCTGGCTTTGTGGTTCTTGAGAAGAAGATTTTTAAAAGATGCTACTAATTTTTCACTATTTCTTCATTATCTCCCCTTGGAAGAGGGCATGGCCCTTCATTTGAACAAACTTGAATCCCCTTTACCCAAGGATACTTTGTGGCAAGTTTGGTTGAAATTGGCCCAGTGGTTCTTGAGAAGAAGTCGAAAATGTGAAAAGTTTACAGACGGACGGACGGACAGACAGACAGACAGACGGAAGGACAGACGGACTACAGACAAAATGTGATCAGAAAAGCTCACTTGAGCCTTCGGCTCAGGTGAGCTAAAAACTGTGAAAATTAATACCAGGGGGAATCCGGACTTATCCACTAACTTGGATCAAGAACATCAAAGGTATTAAATTTCATTTAATACTGAAACATTTACATTTAATGCAATTTTTTATCATCCTATTTTCTCAGTGATAATCTTCTGCTTTATGAAAAATTAAAATCTTATAGGTATTAGAGTCTTCCAACGTAATGAGTAAACTAGGCAATTCTTAGGTATAAAAGACTGCAAACCAGGCAGTTCCTTAGTAATTAAATAGTCTGCACAAGTAATGAGTAAACAAGGCAATTCCTTAGTAATAGAGTCTACCAACATAACGAGTAAACTAACGAGTAAACTAGGCAATTCCTTAGTAACGCCAACGTAACGAGTAAACTAGGCAATTCCTTATAGTAATAGAGTCTACCAACGTAACGAGTAAACTAGACAATTCCTTATAGTAATAGAGTCTACCAACGTAACGAGTAAACTAGGCAATTCCTTATATAGTAATAGAGTCTACGAACGTAACGAGTAAACTAGGCAATTCCTTAGTAATAGAGTCTGCACAAGTAATGAGTAAACTAGGTAATTCCTTATAGTAATAGAGTCTACCAACGTAACGAGTAAACTAGGCAATTCCTTAGTAATAGAGTCTGCACAAGTAATGAGTAAACTAGGCAATTCCTTAGTAATAGAGTCTGCACAAGTAATGAGTAAACCAGGACATATATTTGTGTTTTGTTTTGTAGAATGTAATTTGAGTATCAATATTAATTTTAAAAAATATTACATGTTAATTTCAAGTAAGACAAATCACATGCTTACCTTATCGTTGTGTCTTTTTTCTCTGAAGCATCTAGGATGATTAAATTGTCACTATATATACGCATACCCTGCCCTTTTCCTTGTCTTTTTTTATCACGTGATGAAAACATTGATCAATAAGATTATAAATCAGTGACATCGAGAAGTATATTAAACTGTAGGCAAAATATTTCTTAAACAATGGCTTAAGTTTGTTATTACAATTGTTCTAAATGTCAGTCCTATGTCATCTGATTTCGATCAGTTATGTAAAAATAACGCTTATATCCTTTTATTTGTATTTATTATTTTTTCTTTAAAATTGACAAATGATATAAATAAAGCGATGTATATTTATATATATTTATATATATATATATATATATATATATATATATATATATATATATATATATATATATATATATATATATATATATATATATATATATATATATATATATATATATATATATATATATATATATATATATATCTATCTATCTATCTATCTATCTATCTATCTATCTATATTGTAACGATGCATTGATGACAGAATTATATCACTAGAAAACACCTCACCTTACAACCACCAATGACAAAAATGAATGATTAAAAAGCAACATACAATTCAACCATTAATGAAAAAAAATATGTCATCAGATACCACCTAACCACAACCATTATTTAAAGCAATATGAGCTGCATTTCTGAGCATTTTATTTTGCTTTTAAAACGTGCTGTTGTGATAAATGTGTATGTTATTTAAACATTTATGATCAATTAGACTGAAATAAAGTTTTAATTCTTTCCAGAAGAAAGGTTTCTGTACAGTGGAATGTGTAGTATTATATAAGAAATCAATGTTGTACAGGACGACAATAATTTTGCTTTAATTAAAGTTTATAAATAGTTCTTCCATCGCAAATATAAACAACAGAAGTTTATAAACGTTCTTTCTTCTGTCATAGAAATACTAGTATAGTTAATAACAATATTGCAACAAAAATTCTCGACATCAAAGTTGCAGCTCATATTGCTTTAATGGTAGAGTTATATCCATAAAGCACTGTCATGCAAATACTATTGATAGAAAATCACCTCCAAAAAGCACCAAACCATACTCTATGAAAGAATAATATTATAATAAACACTTTATCATGCACCATTATATCACCAGAAAACACTACATCATGCCATATTATATCACCAGAAAACACTACATCATGCCATATTATATCACCAGAAAACACTACATCATGCCATATTATATCACCAGAAAACATTACATCATGCCATATTATATCACCAGGAAACACTACATCATGCCATATTATATCACCAGAAAACACTACATCATGCCATATTATATCACCAGAAA